AGATTGATCCCATGGAATGTTTTCTTTCCATAAGTGTTGTATGAATAATTTAAGTTTGATCATTATAGGAACGAGAAGACCCAATGGATCGTATTGGGAGGCTATGAATTGTAGGATAGTCCTCTTTGTTAAACTTTTTCCTATCCATGGTTTCAGTGTCACACTGATGATATCTCGTTCATGCTTCCATTTAAGACCAAGAAAATTTTCCTGATTTGTTTGGCTTAGGTCGTATTCAGCTATTCTTTCATTAAATTCTTCATCATTTGAAAGAAATTCTTTAATGTTCATCGATGCTTCACCAAAAATTTCTTTCGTTCTTTCATATTTATATAAAGCCTCTCCTGTTCCATTAGCTGATATAATAACGTTGTCTACGTATAAGTTCTTTCTTATATCTCCTTTGCCAATTCACTACCATGATTTTCTAGGTGGTAATTTAATGTTGCTGCTAATAAGAAGAATGAGGATATTATTCCAAAAGGAACTCTCTTAAATCGGTAACATTTTATATTTTCATTGGTTAGTTCTTTATCAATATCATCTAACCAAAGAAAACGTGTACAATTTCTTTCCTCATTTTGTAGTTCTAGTTGTAAAAATGCCTTTTCGATATCAGCGGTTATTACTATTTTCATCGTCCGAAAACGTAATATTACTCCAACTAAATCCGGTAACATTACTGGACCTCGATATAGTACTTCATTTAAGCTTTTAAAACCTTTGTGATGTTCTGAGGCATCATATACTATTCTTAATTTAGTTGTTGATTTACTAGGAGTTAATACTTCATGATGTGGTAAGTAATGAATAACGCCTACCTCATCCTTTGGAGGTACTTCTTCAATTATACCTGAATGTAGTTGATCCATAAGTATTTGATGATATGAATGGAGATTTGAATTATGCTGTAGGCGGTTGATCAAATTCTTCAATCGTCCCAGGCATAATCCATAATTATTGCTTAATTTTTATTTGGAGTCCTTCCATGGCCAACAAACCTGATATCTTCCACCTTGCTTGATGATGTTCCGTTTGAAATGCTTTAAAGCTTGATTCATCATCATCATCTTGAGGTGATTCTTGGATACCAGTCGTCTCTAATTTCCAAAAATTTTCTAGCTCCTAGTTAATATTGGCTTTTGTAGAATATACTACTTCTTTAGGATATAATTCGTTCTTGCAAAGCTTCTTAATATCTCCACTTCCAACAATCATAGGACCAACTTTTGATTGAACCAACATATGCTCTGATTTCAATTCCTTCATTTCTCGTAGACTAATAAATTTGAAAAAATAGTCAGCTCCAATCAATACGTCATGTTTTTTCCAACAATTTGTTAAATTTTGAATTTGAAATTCATTTGATGTCTCCACTACCTGCAATTCGTTCGTTAGATAATCAATTATATTTGCTTGTAGTGGTATGATTTCGCTTTCGGTAGTTAGCACATTTAGTTGTATGCGAGCAGTGGGACATGATTTCGGTTCTTTCATACCAAATGGAGCTATTCTCATAATTTGAGTTTCTGTTTCGGTTAACTTTAATTGACGTGATAATTTTTTGGAGATGAAGGAGAGTTGCGATCCAATATCAAATAATGCAAGGGCATTTTGTTGTAGTTGAGGTTGTGATGGATTAAAAACCTTTATCTCCTTACATAAAAGTAAAGTTTCCTTTGTCTGTTTGGATCGAGTTGTTAATGTCGAGTTGTAGAGGGAAGTTGAACAATCCTTTCGTTTCGAAGGTTCAATTCTTTCTTGCTCTTCATTTCTTTGAGACATTGTATTGTTTAAAGAAAGTGAATTCCTTTTGTTACATAAAGCACTATTATGTAAGCTTTTGCAATAAAAACATTGTTTTTTGACATTACAATTCTGTCCTTTGTGACTGTCTCTAAGACAAATAGTATATTTCTTCAATACTTTGAGACGACTAAGTAGAGCATTGAGAGTCGTGTAGTTCACGCAATCGCTGTCCCAATGATCTTGATTGCAGAATACACATGGTTGTCTTTTCGTTGTTGTAGTTTTCGAAATATTTTGATTATCTTTTATTGTCGACAATACTGAAGTTCCTCCGGGATTGTATCGTTGTTTTTGTTCCGGTTTGGTAGTTGTAGATTTAATATTGAGTTGAGTGAGTGAATGTTGACAGTTTCTAATCTGTTCATTCACATTAACTAAACTTGTTAAAAAGTTTCTTAGTTTGAGAATTGACCAAGGCATGTCCTTCTTCTTATGTTTATATATTTTATTTAATATCCATAATGGCAACTTGCTCTCGATCAAGATTTCAATATTTGAATGCTCAAGGCTTTCTCCTAGAGCTTCTAACTGGCGCAGTACTCGTTCTATATTTTCAATTGTTCCAATCCATTCTCTTTCATTTCGTTTAATTGATTGGAGTTCGTTGTATAGTAATGTTGTTACTATTGAGTGATCGCCATATTTTTCATTGAGCAGTTTTCTGATGACTTCATAATTCTCTGGAGCTATATCATATCCAGATATTGCTTGTAGAGCCTTTCCTTTAAGACATGAGTACAAGTAATTCAATTTTTGTATTTCTGGAATCGCTTGTGTATGGACTGCTGCGTTAAAACTGCTCCAAAATTGTCGCCATTGTCTAGGGTCTCCATCGAAAGTAGGGAGCGATAAATGAGGAAGATTTACATTAATATTTGAAGAAGGAGTAAATTTTGCTTCTTCTTTTGTTTGTTTGTTCGTCAATTCCTTTGAGAGTTGTTTTAAGTTTTGGTCGACTTCATCCTTGTGCATTGTCAGTGTTATTATCGCTTCCTTTCCTTCGTGTAATAATTGAAATATTCCTTGGTCACCTTCTGTTACTATTTTGTATTTTTCTTCCTCTTCTTCTCTTCTTTTCATCGTGACGATTTGTTGAGTATATGTGAACCATTTATCGTTGATAGATTCAAGCGTAGTCACGCATAATTGGATTCTTCGAAGTTTATCTTCTAACACTCTTTTTCTTATCACATAAAAATCTTCTTTTTCTTCTATTGTCATACTTGGATCTGGAAATTTGATCTCCAGTTGATTTACTTCTTTAAGAAGACTGACTAACCTTTCCTTTGCCGGTTGAAAGCTCGCAATAATGTGGCTTGACATGTTCCCGGGTCGTGGCACCAATAAATTTTGTTGTCGTGAAGGTTTTGTTGGTTGATATTTCGAATTGTTTGCAATACAGTAGAAGGATTAATAAGCCTTTATTTTTCGCAAACGTAGTATCAATAAACAGAGCAGTAAAAGGAGAGAAGAAACTTATAATAAGGAATTGATATTGGCTAACAGAAAGTAGTCGACAATAATAACTATGAAAAATTTTGTTTATTAAAACTGAATTTATATAGGTGAGGATTGGGCGTGTCTAAGATAAAATCATGTGCGTTAAGAATTGGAAGTGCTTACAAATTTACTTAAAATCACATGAATAATAAATCTTAAGAAACTAGATTTAAGGAGAGATTGTTTATGATATTATGGGATTGTTTACAATTAAAAAATGATTAATTAGTCTTTATTGGTTTTAAATCTTGAGAAACTAGTTTTATATGATATTATGAAATTAGTTACAATTGAAAAATGATTAATTAGTTTTTATTAATTTTCCTTCTTATTATTTTAGATAGAAGTTTTCGCGAAACTATAATTCGCGACACTGCTAGCGTAACAAGACCTTTTTCACTCAGTGGCTCCTGTACTGATTGCAAGGTTAATGTTTTATCATTTTTTTGAGAATAAAATTCCATTTTAATGATTTTTTCATTTCACTAAATCATACGAGAGAGAAGAGAAAGAAATAAAGACAAGAAATTCTCATATAAATAATGATTTGCCAGTTTAGAAAAAAAGCGGTGGAACCATATCTTGCTGAATTCAAAAACATTTGTGTTCATCGTATGAAAAAAGCTGTAAACAAAAATAAAAATTAATCGGTAACTATTCGATCGGTAATTCTCACAAAATCTGCATTTCCTAATCTTCAAAACTCTTAATATCAAGTTGTCCACTTTAACCCGAATACATATATATTTTTTTCCACTTCGCTTTCGTATCCGATTTTAATTTCATTGCGCATCCGGAATTTTTGAGAAAGGGTTGTCGTCTCTATCCTTACTAATGTGAGAAACCTCCTAATGAGAAACATATCTGCAATTCAACACTTTTGATCAAAGATGCTGGGCAAATTCATTTGTTATTCATTGAAATTTAATACGCTTACTTGTAAAAGGGACAACAAAAAGTTTCAGTTTTTCCACCCTTAGTTTTATTTTTTGTACTTCGTATAATTTTTTGTACTTCGTATATAAATACAATTACCGAATGGAAAACAAATCGATCGATCAATAAATATACTTTGTACTATGGAAATAGATGCTACTGAAGATAAAGAAGAAAAAGTGGAAGATGAACCGGAAGAACCCATTGCTCGACGAACCAGAAGTGCTAAAAAATCACAAACTACAGTCGATGCAAAAGACAAGTCTAATCTTTTGATAAAAACTTTATCATTAATAACAATGATGTCGTTAATACCAAGACAGGTATTAGCTAACAACAGCTGTAATTGGATTACTGAAGTACCCTTTAATATTCCTGAAAAATGGAATTGTGAAGAAATTATTCACAAAAATGCTACATATCACAAAGTGGATGTGTACACACGCACCCATGTAAGAATACCAGCTATAAAATGTAGTAACATTACACGGACTGTATGCACGAAAGCTTTTCTCAGAATATCACTATCGGTAGTATCAGACCATACGTACGTCTACTACCGCAACCTCCTCACAATTCTGCAGATATTTAAATGTTCGAAAACAAATGAACGGAATTGGACTAATTCAATCTTCTCCTAATCAATGGATAACGAATAAGGAAATACAATACTCCTATGGATGGTTAGGAGTTAACTGTCAATCAACGTCAAACTTCATATTAATTCAAGGAGAAATTCTCCTCTACGATGGAAGATGGTTAGTCTCTAACCTTGAAGATATAAAAGACTGTTCAACACAAAAGGGTGAATGCATAACGAATACTAGCATTATCATATGGAATAGCAATGATACGACCAATTATTGTTTATATCGAAAGATCGGAAGATTCAAGGCTACAAAGTATAACAACCAAGCATTGCTTATAATTGATAAAAACCCCCCTATATTAAACACTAAAAATTGTAAATTCACCTCTCCAAATTTAATGCAGGGCGATATAGTTATTGAACTAAACGTTGAAGATGACTCGAACTCTACTACAAAATTCAAACGAAGAGTAACAAATAAACTATTGATGATGGAAAAGTCTCTGGATAGAAAGTACGATCCTGAAAATGTAAAACTTCAATACCTTTCTGATTCACTAAGACAAGAATTCCTTCAACAACTCAAAGAAACACAGCAGAGAAGTTGCCAAAACAGAAATAACTTATTACTTTTGATCAAATGGCTATCAATCAGCAATCCTACCCTTGCCAAAGAAACTAATACTTCAAAGAAATGATGTGATAGCTAAAAGAATTAACAGAAATTTGATGGTGGTTCCTTGCAAATCAAAACAATCAACAATCGAAAATATCGAATTCAAAGGAGATTTAATAAGTAAGTTTGAAATTGAAAGAATTAATGCAGAATTGGAAATCCTAACTCAAACCCAAAAAACAATTAATTCAATACCATATCAAATGAAGGATGAACTCTTTTGGCAAGAAATCTCTGAAGAAGGAGAAGAAATTATCAAACAAATGGAAAGGGAATTCGATGAAATTGTTCTACCGATAGAAGAAGAATTTGAAAACTTGATAACAAATTGGAAATTGATTTTTATCTCTATAATAATCGTAACATTATTAACTATTTTAGTTATTATTAAGTGGAAATTTAAATTAGTTCAATCTCTCCTTTGTAATACTTCAAAACGAAATTCAAATCAAACTACCATCATTACTCCCCCTATAGAAGCATCACACACTCAATTTCTAACCAAAATCCCACCTATTAAATTCCATACATTTAACTATATACCTCAAAATCACTCTCTCAAAATTACCTCTTAAAACAATTTCTCTCCCCTTTGAAAGTGTCAAAATAATTTCGCGAAAACTTCTAACTAATTTTATACTATCATAAATCATCTCTTCTTTTCGTTGTAAACACTTCCAATTCTTTATATAATTTTACTGTAAAATTGTGATTAGCTTTCATTTTAATCTTTTCGTTGTAAACACTTCTAATTCTTTACACATATAATTTTACTGTAAAATTGTAATTAGCTTTCATTTTAATCTTTTCGTTGTAAACACTTCCAATTCTTTACACATATAATTTTACTGTAAAATTGTAATTAGCTTTCATTTTAATCTTTTCGTTGTAAACACTTTCAATTCTTTACACATATGATTTTTATCCTAGACACGCCCAATCCTCACTCATATAAATTCAATTCTAACAAACAAAAAAGATCATTATCATTATTGTCGAATCTTCTTTAATATAAATTTCTTCTCTTTTATTTTACTGCTCTGTTTATTAATACTACGTTTACGAAAAATAAAGGCTTATTAATCCTTCTACTGTATTGCAAACAATTCGAATATCAACAAACAGACAAACCTTTCACGACACAGGGCACAACAAGATGGATCAGTAATGCATTGTTGAAGATTTAAAACTCAAGAGTATTTTCCATTCCGTTAAGGATCAGACGAAAATATTTGTGATAAATGCTTGATCAGATCAAATTCGGTAGACCTGGCCAAGATTCCTAAATCTGACATTGTAATAATTGTAGTTGGCATTTTAGAGACAAAATCCGCTTCCCTGAAAACTGGTCGAATGAGATTTAGAGCAGTGATTTCTTCTCCTGCTTTTCCGATTACTACATCATAAGAGATCCAGTCATCTTGTAAAATACCTTTGAGTAATGGTAATGTTTGATACATGAAAGACACAGCAATAGAAGCTGGACTTGTCCCTGGAGTATTCGCAACTAATATTGGAATGTTTCTGAAATCATCAGTCAGTTTAAAATCTAAAATGAAAACTGTTGGTTTTCTTGTTAATTCATCAAATAGGTTGATGCAACTTCATATCCCCTGGTTACATATCTCCATCAATTTTCACGACACTCAACGTCAAAATAAATTTGGAATAAGAACCAAATGGAATAAAAACTAAATCTCAACATAATACCAATTGCAGCTACCATCGTCGATTATTTAACAAGCTAGAGTAACAATAATAAATCAAGACTACTTGTCGGATATTTTGAAACAGTGTCTTCTAAAAGAAGAATATGGAAGTTGAAAACAACCAAATTTAATTATTGAACTTAAGAATTCGAGATTCGAACCATGGTGGAAAGAATCAAGATGGTTAAGAAACAAAGAATCAAGAATGGTCAATACGAAAATATAATTTTAAGGAAGATTATGAAGAAAATGAAAACCAAAGTGAAGATCAAAGAATTATAGTGAGCTTGACAATCGACAGAATTTTCAAAATAATGGAAGCCGAACAATTTAGTAAATGGTCAAAAATATAATTTTAAGGAAGACTATGAAGAAAATGAAAACAAAAGTAAAGATCAAAGGTCAAGAATGGTATAACCACATGGGCTTTAAAATTTACAAACTCGATATCAAAAGGAAAGATCCTTGGTTATAAACATCATCGAGGTTTCTCATCGAGAAAAGATCGAATAAACGAATCAATGAAGGCGACTACGAATTAGCTGTTAATATGCTAATTAAACAAGCTCAGGTAGAAGGAATTATAGAAGAAAATATAACAAGTGGAACATATACAACGAAAATGGAATGTGGGAATTTAAAACTAGAAAACTCGGAACTTGGTGAACAAAACCATACATTCCATATAACTTCCCAGACATAATCGGATAACCGAAATTCTTATTCAAAGGACTTATACCACGGTGGAATAGCCCATATAATTTCGGCAATGAGGCGGTGATTTTGGACACTTAAAGAAGAGCAGCAGTTAAACGAGTATTAAATAAATGCATGAGTTGTAAACGATGGAAAAAAAAGCCATTCAAATTACCAGCCATGCGAAAGTACCCAGAAACTAGAGTAAGACGGTCACAAACGTTAGCTCAAAGCGGCTGGGCCTAGTTTGTCAAAACAGAAACAGAGGTTCAAAAAAGATGAATTTACATGTTCCACAACGAGAGCAGTACATTTGGAAATGGCAGATCGTTTATCTACTGAAGGCTTCTTAAACGTCTTTAGAAGATTTTGTTGCAAAACGTAGTAATCCAGAAATAACTCTAAGCGACAACACAAGACAATTCCAATTTCTAAACTCTAATGGAAAGGAAACAGTTAACCGAATTTCTAGTGAGGAATCATTTGAAATGGCGAAACATAATTCCAAAGGCCCTCTGAAGTGGAGAAATTTATGAATGGATAATTGACAAAGAAAACCTTAGGCAGAATTATCGGAAGAAGAATACTAAAGGAGAAGGAATTTACTACTCTAATAACAGAATTGAAGGTATTCACAATACTCGCCCATTAACGCACGTAAATTTCGAGGATTCGACAATACTAAGACGAATTGATTTCATCATCCCAGACATACGTCTAATAACAGCAACTGCAAATGATGATTATCAGGATGAATGATGATTACCCTTATCGACTAGACTAGGAGAAACCTTCTCAGGTATTGGTCCAATGCACAAAAAGTCCTTTTGGAATGTATTGAGGGTTTTTTGTGATTTCCTTTATGATATTCATTCAATCCTTGTGATCTATTGTTAAAATAACTCACTATCATGTCTATACAAATTCTTCTTTCTAAAATAACTCATTATCATGTCTATACAAATTCTTCTTTCTAAGGTCAGATTATATGGAAGGAAGAATATTTAACTAGCTTAGAGAACACAAATAGAACATAAATCTCCAGAACGCACAGAGATTAAACCCTTACTGAAGGAGGAATGGTAATAGTGAATGAAACGAACGCTCCTCGTAGTACATGGAAATTGGCAAAAATAAAGAAACTCAATGTCAGGATAAACGAATAAGAAATGCATTAATAGAATTACATCGAGGAACTCAAACAAATCACTCTATTAATATGCTGTATCCTCTAGAAATTGAAACTATGGAAGGACGAGAAGAGCGACAAATTATTTCAGAGAAAATTATAATGAACCGAAGCAAACCGACAATGAGGAAAAATCGATTGCACGACGAACTAGAAGTGCAATAAAACAAAAAACTAATGCTCAAATCACCTAACTTCCTAGATCGGGAGTGTCGCGAATTTCAATATCGCGAAGCTCTAAATAAATGTTAATAATGCTTAATTAATCCCTTCGATCTTATACAATTCTTACACTATGAGCCTCCATTATGTAATGTATATGGCAACCCATTATAATGTCTAGACAAACTGTAATTTTTATATCAATCCAGTGTGATAACCATGTAACTCATCGTAACAGTAACTCATTATCATATCTAGACACTTTATCCTTTGTACAAAAATGCGCAAAAATGTCTAATTATAAATCACTCCTACATCTTAGCATATATATATAACCGCATACTAACACATCAAATATATATAATATAAAATGTAACTTCACTTCCTTCATTAATAATATATAATGTGACTTGCAACTTCATTATGTTCACTTCCTTTCCTCTCTCATTCTCTTTTTATATAAGCTTTTACACAAACGGAACCCAAAACGACAACTCCACTCCACACGAATCACATTTCATTATTCTCCTTTATTTATACTTAATTTCTGCATTCATTATTACTACTATATTATATTACAGTTGTCGTAAAAATGATACATCCAAGTTACATTCAAATCCTAATATTTCAAATCTTAATCTATTGCCAAATGCGTTAATCACCAAAAATTACTTCTTCTTTTCTCACACAACAACAAAACCTAATCTTGTTACCAATCTTTGTTTTATTTATGTAAATGATTTCCACCAAATTACTGGTTGTCAGTTTAATTCTGAATACAAACTAACCAACTTTCCCCACTAACCATTGTTCCAATCTATGTTTTTTAGGGTACTTTAATAATATTTTAGTGTTTTACAATTATATTTATTCGTTGCGTGTTTTTTTAATATTGATTTTGCGCTAATTTTTAATGTTGATTTGCTGATTTAATTACCCAAGCTTGAGCTTGGTAAAATAAAATATCTAGCAGTCAATAATTTCCACGATAGATACCAATAAAGGCTTCGACTGTGTCTAACTTCCACAAATAACAAAAAATTCCTAACAATTCACAACAACTGGATGAAACTAATTAGAGCGATGATGTGGGCTCATATCGTAAACAAACTTGCAAAAGGAAATTACCACGGCTACGATTATTATATAAAAAAGAAATATATGATTAAAAATGATTATGATATAGCAGGAAAGATATTGATCACTACATCAACTTATAACTAAAGAAACTCCATTAGATGAGACAGCGCTACATACAGCGATTTCATTTAACGAAACTTTAACCAGAATTCCATCACCACCAAACGATTCGAATAAAACTGCTTGTTTTTTTGAATCGAAAGCTTTGTTTAACTAGTAAATCCTTAATGAGAGGAAATTTGCGAATTTTCTTTACGTTACAAAAAATGATTCTAAATGGTTGCAGCAGTCAACTCAAACTAATTGCTGCAACATACAATTTTACTTACATCAATTTTCCATTCGAACATGAAACCACGAATCGAATGTTAGGACTGACTGATACAAATTGAACACTTAATAAT